AGTGGTTCTAGCACACGCCTTCATGGATTTCTTTAAGTATGTATTCGGTGCTCTTTTCATCTACGCACTTGAGAAAAGGTGCCGAGTAGCCCCGTTTGAACAGTTCCCCGGCCACGATTGTAAATCGAGCTGCCCGAGTACGAAGCTGCCTGGCCTCTTTTGAGTCCGGCGGCAACGCACCGGTCTCCAGATTCAAACGGATCGGGAACATCCAGCTCGGGTCTTGATCTTCCACCCCCTGCTCGGCACTCAGCATGGAAGTGCCAAGCACGGATGGTTGTTCCTTGTGTCCAACCTGGATATACTCGACGCTTTCCACCCCGGCACTTGAGGCGAGACGGGCCAGGGCGTCGGCTTGTACGTTCTCCATCCGGGGGATATGTTCTATTTTAGCCTAGATTTTGGTCAGCTTCTTCTTCACCAACCCCAGGTATGGGACCAGTCTTGGTTCCTTCATCTCGAACTCTCCGGATATCTGTTTAACCATCAGCATGGAGTCTGAGTATATGATGAGTTCAGTTAGGCTCATGGCTTCTGCCAAGGCGAGCACGGGTAGCAATGACTCATATTCGGCTTCGTTGTTGGTTTCCGAGAAGAGATATTGTATCGAATGACAAAAGAGCTTCTTGTGGGGATCCACGAGGACGACTCCTCCGCCTGCTCGTCCGGCAGTGGAGGATCCATCCACGTACATCACCCAAGGCTGTTCGTTCATTTCTTTGAGTCCTGGCGTGAATTCGGCTATGAAGTCCGATAGTACCTGCCCCTTCATTGCTGTTCGGGGTCGGTAATGAATGTCGTATTGCCCCAGCTCCACCACCCACTTCACCATCTGGCCTGACTTGTCAGGTCGGTGAAGAATCTGTCTCAGCGGGTAGGCAGTGAGCACGGTTATCGAAGATTCGAGGAAATACGGCCTTAATTTTCACGCGGCAGTCACCAAGGCGAACGTGAGTTTCTCCATCTGCGGGTATCGCAGCTCGGCATCATGAAGTGCCTTGCTGACGTAGTAGACAGGATGTTAGGAAGATTCGTCCTCTCAGATGAGGGCAGCGCTGATTGCCACGTCGGAGACTCCCAAGTAAAGGAAGAGCATTTCTCCAGGCCTGGGTTTCTGCATAGTTGGAGCCCGACACAAGGTTTCTTTGATAGCTTCCAACGCTTGCTGGCACTCTGGAGTCCACTCGAACTTATGATTCTTCTTAATTGCGTCGAAGAACGGCTTACACCGGTCTGTCGACTTCAAGATGAATCGACTGAGGGTGGCAAGCTTGTCAGTCAGGCTTTGTACCCCTTTGACTGAGGTCGGCGGTCGGAGATCTTGGACGACCTTGATCTTTTCGGGATTGGCGTCGATGCCGCGTTGGCTAACGATGTAGCCCAAGAACTTTCCCGAGCCGACGCCAAAAGTACATTTTTTGGGATTTAACTTCATGTTGTAATCACGCAAAATAGAAA